GCATACTTAATGATGTAATACATGCAGGTAATTTAAAGTTAAAGTATAATAGTAATTATTTGAACGATTGTTCTTATTTGTTATTATTATTATTTATTAACAGATATGGTATGGGGCTTTCGCTATTTGTTGGATTTGATAATAACCACCAAAATATATTACTTGCTCAAGGATTATTAATTGACAAAACCCACGAATCACATGTGTAGTTATTTAATAAAATTGTTAAAGCAACCAGTATAGAACCTGCAGTTATACTAACTGATTCCGATCCTGCTGTTAACTCAGCTGTAAAGGAAGTATTTAAATCAACGTACCCAATTTATTGTGCTTTTCACATAACCCAAAATCTTTACAAAAATCTTCGAAAGTCCCTAGATACACAATACAATCAATTTTTTATGGATTTCTATAAGTGCCAAAATAGTTTAGTGAAAACCATATTTGAAAACAAATTTACAAAATTAGGTCATGATTACCCAAAAGCTAAACCTTATTTAGACAACCTATATAAATCAAAAGAGTACTAGGCATATTCATATACAAGCTTTAAATTCACCGAAGAGATGATTGCAACGTCAAGAGTAGAGGCTACAAACGCCTGTCTAAAAAAATTTTTATATAGTTCTAATATGTCGCTCAATGAATTAATGCAAGAAATACATCACATGCTTGACTGCCAAGATAAAGAATCTAAATATCTATTTTGGAAACTCGTGATTCCTTCAATCAAAAGTAACGACCAAGCAAACTTTTTATTTACATATATAGACAAATGTTGTCAAACATATCTTACTCCAAATATGTTAAAAATGCAAAGGGATGAAATTAACCAATTAGTTTATTACTCAGCACAAATAATTAGTATAGAGAGTCTAAAAAGTATAAATGAGGTAAAAAATAGATTAGTTATTTTTTACATATTATAAATTTAACAACCTATTTTTTTCTAGGATAACATTATGATTAATATTGAAGAAGAAAATCCTGAGGACCAGCATGCAACTATCCAACAAATGTTAGAAGTAGTTGGTGAAAAAAATATAGTTGAAGCATGGTTAATTAAAGTCAGAAATGCATTAGCTGCAAAACATTTTATTGTACTATTAAAAAACAATACATATCTTTGTTCATGTCTAACTATTATTTGACAAGAAATTATTTGTAGGCACTACTTTCAAGTAATGCTAAACACTAATACGGCAAAGTTTCATATTTGTCTTATTCCATCTAGATAGTACTATAAAAATATAGATGCCTCAAAAGAAACATTTATTATGGCTGACAAATACGAAAGTGAAGAAGCACCTGATTATAATATTCCATATCTTTTTCCTTTTTATAATCAAGAAAAAGACTTTTTACAGGAAAATCTTAGTCTTCTTAAACAAAAATTAGTTTATGGAACATTACATAGTATTTACAAAAAGGCAATAAGTAAAGCGTTATAGTCTAAATCTGAGTCAGATCGCCTTTTAAAGCTATTGGAGGATTTTGTTCAGGAATGCGACCAATCAGAAGATAGTTCTAGCGATGATAATTACTCAGATGAATCTACAAGTGAAAGAGAGTTTCAACTAAAAAACCCTAAGTGATGACAAGGCAGAGGACAACCTCCAGGTACCAAGAGAATTAAAGCATCACATAAAAATCCTAGCACCACCAAAAAAAAAAAGAACTTGCAAAAAATACAGTGATATTAGACACTATCAAAAAAATTGTACAGTTAGTACTTAAAAATTTTTACTTTTTTCTATATTATCATTGAAGGTATAATAGATAGGTAATTCTACTAAGACAATGTTAAAGAAAATTACTTGAATTTTTAGGTCTATAATAATTAAAAGCGAAGATTTTAATGATGTAAGTTATCTATTTACTATTAGTCTTTATTATCTTTAGTATAAGTGCAGTCATTGATCTTTAGTACTAATTATTGTATAGTCTATAAACTTGTTACATTCTAATTAATATTTAACAGAAATAGCCATTCACTAAGGTATTACCATAACTTACTGCAAATTTGTTAGCAAGAATCATTGATATTTATTACTTAAGCATTAATGAACTTTTCTATTACGTTTCACACTTTACTTAACTAGAACTCAATCATCATATTTTTTTGTTTCTTAAATGTTGTTTTGTGTTTCCTCAATTATATTATCATTCAATTTACAAATTAATATAATGTATGCTAAAGGATAGTAATTAAATGATGGATATAATAATTCTTTGTATATGTTAAAACAATTACAAATAAATAGAACTATAAATAAGTGATTCTTATTAGCAAACATACTATATATTTTATTTATGCCAAATCAATTTAATTCTCTATTCAATATAACTTTCTCTTACAAATTACCTCATGTTATATCAAACAAAAGTTGAGTTGGTTTAGACTAGAGATGTACTATTATGCACTTATCAGTGCGAGGTATTAATTGTTACATAGCTAATGATATGAAAATCACAATGAATATCAATAATTATCCAAGTTGTGCTGATTAATACCTCGCATTAATAAAGTGCATGATGGCACATTTCTAGTTTAGATATTAAAGTGAAATGTATATTTTTGCTGGTTATTCTCTAAATTATTTTATTATTGTATATTTTAACTGCTCTGAGTTAGAGCTAAAATTTTTCGGATGTCCGTTGTGGCTATTATTTGAATATTTACAGATTTTAGTACGAATGATAATGAATGAATATCTAGATTATATGTGGAAATCTGTGAATATTCATTAAATATTATATTATGTAATTCAGCTATGTTTTGACTACATTCTAAGCAAATATTCACGACTATAATATTTTAATTTTCAACTTATAAAAGCAATCAAAAAATAATACAAATAGATATAAATTAAATTTTAAAGCATGTTTATTAAAGATATAATAATATTACAGTACTTTAAAACTCCAAACTGTCCTGATTTCATCCTAGCTATCCCTTTTTACAATAAACAGCCACATAAAATGCCTATTTTTCTTTAATTCAATAAGAAATCACAAAAAAGACAAATAAAGATGAAAAACAAGCTGACAATTACTATAAAATATACTAACTATGACCCAAGATACAGTGTCACTATTTTTAATATTACAACCAGGAGTTCTAGAAGCAAATTCGGGCCTCATTCTAATGCAATCATCAAAAGTTCTTTGTCCACTTAACATACACCATTGACTATAATACTCAGATCTTTGGCTTGATAAAATTTTTGGGGTGATATAAGGTATAACTCTATAAATATCACTTGAATTAGTTATGCCCTTTAGATAATTCCAGGTTTGCAAGATATTACCATTGCGAAAGTCTACATGAATTATAAATATTATAGCTTTAATTTAGCCTGCTAATTAAGATCCTGAAAATTTACACCTAAAACTTACGAAGATTCCACTATTAGTGTATCGAAATACCATCATATATTACTATTTAACCGGTAGTTATCATTACAAAACATATAATTCTCAGAAGACAATATGTTAATATGTGGTATAACAATCAAATGAATCTGAAAAATATACATCAAAGGACACACCTGTTATCCCAGCGAACATAATGCAATTGTTATGATGAAAGTTAATAGAGTTGATCTTGAGATGTGGATGCCTATTCAATCAGTGAAAAGCCATTAATGAAAGTTTGATGATGATATAGATGATAAGGTTGGGTGATTAGTTTGAAGGAGCGATGATAGTATGAATTTGAAAAAGATGTAATTAACAAAGATAAGGTAATTTAATTGTAATGTACAAAATGAACAGTGATAGAGAAAATGAGAATAATAAAAAAAAGGAATGATAGTTAGTAAAAGAGGCATTGATAGAACGTGTCAGGCAAATAACAAAAAAAAATTAAATTTACCTATATTGAATAAAAGAATAACCTAAAAAATTTCATGATCTGTTTATCGGAGAAGCCACCATAGAACTTTGAATCTATTATCCTTAATAATTACGTGGTTAGAAGAATTCGCCAAGATGTCAAGATCGTGAGAAAAAAATCATATTTCTTAAACAACCAAGTTCACTAATAATTCCACACTTATTATAACTAAAAAAATACACTATTGTAATCTAAAATATTATACCTTCATTCCTGAAAAAGTTTCATTTGTTAAGTCATCATAGAACTTAGGATCTATTATCCATAAAGTTTTTAAGGTGCAAAATTACGTGGTTAGAAGAAATTCACCAATTATACAATCTTACATAATTAAGAAAACATATTACCATAATTTAATCTATAACCCAAGTTTCAATCGCCTATTTAATACTATAGCACCAAGTTGGTACTCTTGAAGGAATAAAGAACTAATAAATATCTTTAGAGTAGCGAAGCACAAGTCTCGAATGTCTATTTAATACCATATCGCCAATCTGGTACTCTTGAGGAAACAGAGTATGAAAGAATGAATAAATATTCTTAGAATAGCGAAGCACAAGTCTCAA